GGCCCAGGTTGGATTTGAACCCGCCACCTTAGGTGTATGTGGCTGGCACCTTAGCCACTTGAGCCACAGGCGCCAAGCCCAGAATTGCTTTTTTAATAAATCCATTTTATTGGTTTTATTTCCTAATACTTTGTAGTTAAAAATAAATTAGTAAGGCCTAATTTTTTTTTCCGGCCTAATGTTTTTAAAATACTTGTCAATTATATATAACAGTAAAGTAAAATTTTACATAGTCTATTTCATACATAGAACTGGAGTAAGGATTTGTAACCAGTAAGTCACCCTGTGTAAGTGGATTGTCTGTGCAGAGGGAAGGACATTGGGATGGCCATGGGCAGGCGTATGGTTAATGTGCTGATAATGGAGGCTAATTCTATTCTCTATTTCAGTATCTCGATAGATTTTCTCCTTTTCCTGGAATTGTAAGTGCACATGGAATAACTTTTTTGTTTATTATGTGTCTTTCTTCTTAGGCTCTGGAGACAAAGTCCTTGCTCTGGCAAGTTTTGAGGTTGAAAAAACAAAAAAATGACGTGATGTGGAAGCTTGTAACATTGATCACATTCTTACTGTAAATGGCATTTTTCTTCTGAGGGTTTTCAGTTATTGAAAAGAAATGAAGAGATTCTCAAAATGCATTAATGACCTTAGAAAGGTGACATACAGACATACTCGTGACTTCTCTTTATGCTCTTCATCATTGTGCTTTGTATAGGGCTATCTGCTGGAGTGATCCTGGATTTGTGGGGATGGAGGGACTCACTGGACTTTATTCATTAGGATTTGTCTGTTTAAGAGAGAGAAGAGAAAATATACTTTGTTTTTATTAAGGCTTTTTGGTTTAAGTGTTGATAGTGAATGAAAAGGTATGATCTGCTGATAACTTATCCCCACTTGATGGAGTTAACAGTGAAGAAACATCAATAGACTGCATATGTGTTCATAGGATTTTAGAGTTCCAAGGGATTTTAGAAATTATTTTCATTGACGGGGCATGGTGGCTTATGCCTATAATCCTAGCGCTCTGGGAGGCTGAGGCAGGAGGATTGCTTGAGCTCAGAAGTTCAAGACTACTCTGAGCAAGAATGAGACTCTGTCTCTACAAAAAATAAAAAATAAATAAGCTGGGCATTGTGGCAGGTGCCTGGAGTCCCAGCTACTTGGGAGGCTGAGGCAAGATCACTTGAGTCCAATAGTTTGAGGTTGCTGTGAGCTGTGATGACACCGCTATACTCTACCCAGGGCAACAAAGCAAGACTCTGTCTCAAAAAAAAAAAAAAAAAGGAAAGAAAGAAATGAAAAATTATTTTAATAAACAAGAAAACTGAGGTTCAGAAAGAGTAAGTGACTTGCTTAAAGTCACAGTAGAGAGCTGGGGATAAGACTCGTGTGTCCTAACTCCTAGTTTAGTATCTGTTGAGTTTTATTTCTGTATTTAAACAAATAATAATTAACATTATTTGTTCAAGTAAGTGTTTTTAAAACTTCAATGTCCTAACAAAAAGTTGATCCTATACTAAGAGACCATCCCCCAGCTTGTAAGCTCTCTGTATGAATGGGGCCCATTGTATCTCTGAATTTTGAGCTGGGAACAATGGGAGCCCTGTTGAGAGTCTCCTGAAGTAACTTAGCCTCCTCAGTTGTTTCACCAGAGAAGCAATAGGAAATGGCAGCTAGAGGCCCTCCAGTGTGTGACCTCTTGCCAAACTCAGGGGGTGGTAACTGTAAGATACTATCTACTTTTTTCAGTTTCTGGAGAAACACAAAATAAGTTATGTGGAAAAGCAAGTTTCTCTCCTGAGTGTTTACATGTCTCTCTGCATGCTTAAATATGTAGCTCTGTCCGTATGCGTGTACATTAGCTTATTTCTTAGGCTCTGACCATTTTATATTCTTTCATGTGTTTCTCAGTATTCTTTTCCTCTGTTCTTTATACACATTATATTTTTAAAGCTTCTTGTATATTGTAAACTCTACTAGGTGCTTTGCCAACTGAACAAATTAGAGGACCTCAGCTACATTGATGCCTTATTTGAACTTTTTTCCCTTTAATATGAACGATTAAAGCTAATATCTGGACATGACGTGCAGCCTGTTTTAATGAACTTATAAATCTTTCCTATGACCCTAACAATGGTTGTGACCACACTAATAATCCCTCCAGTGTGTGAAAGGTGGAGGTATATGTCCTTATCAACATTTAGAGGGGAAAGGGAGGATACAAACCCTGCGCCCACAGAAAAGAAGAATGAAATTGCGTGGCTGAGTATTTCGTGCTCAGTAGCTTTTACATCAACAGTGGCTTCTATGGCAAGAGCTAGAGGGTCAAACATATGTATGTGCATTTGGATGTCATTGAGAATGTCAAATTGGTGAAAAATCGATGAAAGTCTGCTCTGATTTTTTCTTTCTTTCTTTTTTTTTTTTTGGTGAGATAGAGTCTCACTATGTTGCCCTCAGTGGAGTGCTATGGCATCACAGCTCACAGCAACCTCAAACTCTTGGTTTAAGTGATTTTCTTGCCTCAGCTTCCCAAGTAGCTGGGACTACAGGCACCTACCACAATGTCTGTCTATTTTTTAGAGACGGGTTATCGCTCTTGCTTAGGCTGGTCTTGAACTCCTGAGTTCAAGCACTCCACCCGCCTCAGACTCCCAGAGTGCCAGGATTATAGGCATGAGCCATGGCGCCTGGCCTCTGCTCTGATTTTCTTTTTTTTTTTTTTTT